TGAAAAAAATGCTGACTCTCTTCTCCGACAAACAAGGGAAAGAGATTCAACAAATTACTGCCACACTTAAGGAAATTCAACAATCCAACGAAAATATCGGAAGCTCAATCGCATTCCTTGCTGCTCAAAATGATGAATTAAAAAGAAAATTGATCAATTGGAGAGCCAGGCCAGGGATGACAAGAATCATATCAGGATTCTTGAAGATAAACTTGAGGCAATGCAGAACAGTACCCAGAAGACCAATTTTGTCATAAAAAATGTACCTAAAAGACCAAACGAAACCAAAGAAGATCTTATCGATATGGCCATGTGTCTCTCTCAGAACCTGGACTGCGCAATGGGTAAACATGACATAAAGGACATATACAGAGTACGTGGAAGAAACAGTGAAAACATGAACACACCGATAATTGTGGAAACCAGTTCGACTCTTATAAAGACAGAGATTTTGAAGATGGGTAAGGCATATAACACCAAGCACAAATCTAAACTATGCTGTAAACATCTCGGCTGGAAATCGCAAGATGAAATCCCCATTTTTCTCTCTGAACACTTAACTCCTAAGGGTTCCCGGCTACACTTCCTTGCTCGAGACTTAACTAAATGTGGAGCCTATAAGTTTTGTTGGACAGCATATGGTAAAGTACTATTAAAGAAAGACGAACAGTCGCCGACTATAACTATTAGAAATGAACAGCAGATACATCAACTTTTAATGACTAAATGACTAATAATATTACTTTTCACTTTAATATGTTTTCGTAACTTTATAAAAGTTGTTATTCTAAGTTTTTTGCTCCTAGGTTTGCTTCTAAGTTTTTTGGTATGTATTCCTTTTGTACAAATGCTACAAACAATACTACTATATTACACTTTTTACACTTACTACACTATTTTAATAATTATAAAACCCAGCGTAACTGATAAAACTCGAAATTACCTTCATACATTTTTACACATACATCTACAAAATTACTTCGCCTGCTCAATGGCTCCCCTTATGAAAATAAACCATTTCTCAGTCTCTCTAACATACAACAATTGCATAAAAACACTATCCATACACAAAAAATATACAACACAAATATTCTACATTCTGTGGCAAAACTTAAACAACCGTTCGTGTCCGATGGTACGTCCTTTTCTCTATTTAAAACTAATACATAATTTAATACATAATGGCTAACCAATTAAAAAACCTTAATGAAATTGATAGCATTGAAATTGCACGTACTATAGAGTGTGATTGCACTGACCTAGCTAAACACATTAATATAAAACAAAATGATCTCACTATAGTATCTCAGAATATAAGAAGTATTTCATGTAATTTTGACAGCTTCATACTCACTTTGTCCACATTTAAGTTTGATACTGATATTATCATTTTGACAGAATGTAGACTAAGTCCTGGAAAACCTATCCCAGAACTAAACAATTATTCCTCCTATGCTACGCTACACCAGTTAAATCAAAATGATGGGGTTGTTGTTTATGTAAAAAAACATTTAAAATCTAATGTTAAGGAAATTAAATTATCCCAGGCGTCTTGCTTACAGCTAGAGATATTAAATAACGTAGTTTTATGTATTTACCGATCTCCATCGAATTTAAATACTGATAGTTTTATAAGTTCCCTTAGTTCCCATTTGGAAACTCTGAATCCACAGAAAAATACTATCATAGCAGGTGACATCAACATAAATATCAGACCCAAGGATTCAGAGCCATCATGTGAACACAAAAATAGAATTAATTACTTAAATATGCTAGCGCTTTATGGAATACTACCGGGTCATACTTTGCCTACCCGAGATAAAAACTGTTTAGATCACTTCATGCTAAAGATAAACAAACATAAGGTATCAGCAGTTATTGCCATCCTACACACTAGTATTACAGATCATTACACAACACTTTTATCATTATCTAAAATAAAAAATACTCATATAGCCAATAAAAAGAGATCTTCAATAGATTATGAGCAAGCACTTAAGTATCTACAAGAAAATAATCTATCAGACTTGCTATTTTGTAGTGACCCTGAGGCCTTAACAAATATTTTATTGCACAAATTAACAGAATCCATAAATAGAAGCACTACCATAATAAATATCCCCAACAGTAAACGGATTATAAAACCATGGATTTCACCAGGTTTGCTACGCTGCATTAAAAACCGTAACAAATTACAAAAAAAATATAAAAATGACAGGCACAATGACATATTAAAAATAACATATATTAGATATAGAAATTATTGCAACAGTCTCATTAAAAAATTAAAACGGAAATACGAAAGGGAGTTAATTGCAAAATCGGTTGGGAACAGTAAATCACTTTGGAAAAATATAAAAACGATAACTTACACAAATAAATGTAAAGATAACACGACAGAGCTATTAAATATAAAATCATCCCCCTTAGAATCAGTTAACTATATAAATGATTATTTCGCGAACATAGGTAAAAGCCTTGCACAAAAGACCCAATCTATTTCAAACAATGGTCACAGCTTATTACACAGTTCGGTACTAACACAGCTAAATTCCTTTGTACTGTTTGATACTGATCTGGATGAAGTGAATCTGATCCTAATGAGCCTTAAATCAGACAGCGCATCTGGGTTTGATAATGTTTCAACTGGATTTCTGAAATACATAAGGAAGGAAGTTGTACCCATAATAACTCACCTCGCTAATCTTTGTTTTCACAAAGGCATCTTCCCAGGTCTACTAAAGCAGGCTATCATTACACCAGTTTACAAGGGCGGGGACAGAGACGAAGTCAGCAATTATAGGCCTATATCGGTTTACCATCAATATCCAAAATTTTAGAAAAACTCATTAATATTAGACTACTAAAATTCCTGAAAGAGTTTAATATATTATCAGATTCACAATACGGCTTCCGTCAAGGTGTCTCCACCGAGGATGCAGTCACTGCACTAAGCACGTTAGTAACCGAACACATTGACAGTGGCAAAAAATGTTTAACAGCTTTCATTGATCTGAAAAAAGCTTTTGACACTGTTTCTGTCCCAATCCTTGTAGACAAACTTGAACGTATAGGAATACGTGGAACACCTCTCAATCTGCTAAAAGATTATCTCTCGAACAGGAAACAGAGGGTTAGAGTGGGTCAGTATGCCAGTGCAGATGCAGAGGTATCATACGGCGTCCCCCAAGGTAGCGTATTGGGGCCTACGTTGTTCCTAATTTATGTAAATGAACTGTGTGACCTACAAATTAATCACGCACAAGTCTTTTCTTACGCTGATGATACCGCTGTAGTCTTCTCTGGAGATACTTGGAATGACGTCAAACTTCGCGCGGAATCGGGCTTGGCAAAAATTGCTTGGTGGCTGGGAAAAAATCTGCTGACACTGAACATCTCTAAAACAAATTATATATGCTTCAGTGTCTGCAATCGAACACAACCCAGTAAGGATTTCAGTCTCAAGGTTCATGTATGTAACGTCGAGAAAAATATTGGTTGTAGCTGCTCAACCATAAATAAAGTTCCATATTTAAAATACTTGGGCGTTGTCATTGACCAGAGACTCTCTTGGCACCCACATCTTGATCAGATTGCTAATAGGGTCAGGAAGTTTGGCTGGATGTTCAAGACCCTGAGATACGTTCTTCCTAAAAATCTTTTAAATGGAGTATATATCGCTCTTGTGCAGTCAGTCTTATTATATTGTATCCCTATATGGGGTGGCGCCGCACAAACGAAGTTTTTAGAACTGGAGCGTGCACAACGTGCTTTGATCAAGTGTATGTACTTTAAAAAAAAAAGATTTCCAACCGAAACTTTATATAAAATTAGCAACTTGCTCTCGGTTCGGAAACTTTATATTATACAAATAACTTTGAAAAAACATAAGTCCGTTGCTTATGACACCAGTCTACAATCAAAAAGAAGAAAAGACACTGTAGTAAGAGTCCCTCAAACAAGGACCCTATTTGCCAGTATACAATTCTGCAAACGGTCTGCGCAACTTTATAACAGAGTCAATAAATACGTGTATATTTATTCGAAAAACTATTATGACTCAAAAAATACCATATGTGAATGGATAAAAACACTTACGTATAATGAAACCGAGGCACTACTTCAACACGTACCTTGACACACACACACACAAACAAACACACACACACACACACACACACACAAACACACGCTTACGCTTACAGTCACACACACAAATTAATTACCTACTTGCACCTAGAGGTTTGTTCTCCTTAATTTTTAGTATTATTTTGCATGCTAATCATATAATGGATAACGTCATATTTGCATAATAACTACGTACGCTTTGTTGTAAAAGAGCGAAGTCTCCTAACACAGGCACATCTTGCTTAAAAGGAGGCTTCAATCACAATATTGTAAGCACAAAAACCTGTTTTGCAAATAAACGATTTTTATTTTTTTTTTATTATTTTTTTATTGTTGAGACATTAGCGATTATTGCCCATAACTTTTAGTAAGATTTTAATATCTTTTATCATTTTTTTTGGTGCCAAAATCATCAAATGACTTATCCCGCCCAGCGCCGAGCGGAAACGAGTATCAGACTCTTACTGACTAAAAACACCCGTTCCTTTTCCTGATCTGGGCCGAGGTCGCGGCGCCTCATTGCAATTACCCCTCAACCCCAGCTGAACATCAGCCCTATAGGACGACGTCTGTTTTTTACATTTTTGGACAATAAACGAGCAGACCCTGGTGGTAAGCAATCGGCGCCCGCTACACCAGAGGCGTTACGAGAGCGTTGCCGGCCTTTGGGGATAAGGGTTTCGAATATTTAGAGATAAGAGATGGATTGGGGGAAAGAAGATGGATTAGGCCTCCGGTAACCTCAGTCACACGGCGAAACACAACGCTGTGGTTGTTTCTCGCCGGCTTTCTGTGGTCGAGACACACAATGTTATTTATGTTTGTTGCAGATATTAATATCGAAATATTTAAAAATGTTTTTTCTTTCACAGGCGAAAACCCGCTAGCAATGCAACGGGGAGGCGCGTCATGCAGTTCCGATTCATTGCTGGCTCTAACCATCGCTTTTATCAGCTGACACATAGCCAGCGCGCTTTGGACGCGCACCAATGCGTAATATTCATAATATTAGTCGCAATTACTATGTTCGTAAACGCTAGAGTAATCTTTCTCAGTCGGTGTTGGGTTTATCTACTTAATGACTTCCTTGGAAAAAAAACTTTAACGCCTACGGAATTAGTTGCTATTCGGCAAAACGTGGTTGTTGAAATTCTCGAAGGGGTTAATTATACAAAAATGTGTTTTATCTCGAAAGCAATAACGTTGCAATTTATTTGATTATTATCAGGAATAATATATTTTTATTTAATATTCTTCATTTCATAAATAATGATTTCTGTATGATATTCATTTTATTTTCATGTTGCATTTATTTTAAAATAAATTCATTGAAACACACAAAAGTAAGCTTTAATCCTTTTTAACCTAAAGTTTTATTTTCAATAATACAATCTTCACAGATAAAAGTATACATAAAATATTACACCGAAATAACATTTTTACTTTAATACACATAAAGTCTACTTTAGCATGTCAAACAAATGCACTTACTTATCTCTTCGAAGGAAAAATGTAAGACCAACAGAATTAAGGTCAAACGTTCTACACATTTCCTAGAAATTTCCATTACCGCCAACGGATTTTATGGAGCTAAGATTTAATTCAAAAGATACCTTATTTTATTTGAAATAAATCTGTCTTTTGAATAATGAAATGAATTGGATTTCATTATTGAAGTAATTTACCGTAAATAGTCAAGTAAGAAATATTTTTTTTTGTAGTTGTTTACATAGTGATTATAGGTTTTTATTTAAAACCTTTTTTAAAATGAATAAGTACACTAAAATAAACATGTAATGGAAAATTAAAGATTTCTTTTTAAGAATTTGTTGATTAATTTACAGTATAATATTTGTAGTAAGATGTCTCATAGTATAGGCATCCTCAATAAGTGGACTATTTCATTTTAACAAAACACAAGAATAGTTCAGTCCTGTTTGTCTGTACGGTTGGCGCGGTGGCTGGGCAACTGGCTGCCGTGCGGCGTGTCGCGGATCCACAAATTGTTGTTCCGGTTCTGGGTGTCATGTGTAGGTATATGTTATTGTATGTTTGCACCCACGACACAGGGGAAAATCCTAGTGTGGGGCAACGTTTTTTTTAAAAAGATATTTTTTGTTCTTTTTAAAATTGGTGAGTGCAATTGCATTTTTCACCCCTGACTGTATATAGATATCGCTAAAATATATGACGACTTTTTTTCAACATTCTTGTTTACAGAACAATGAAAAAGGAGGTCTTAATACAACATACCAATCAACCTACAAATCAAAAATTTTCTTTCTAAAGCTTATAAGACTCAAAGATTTGGTAACTGCAATCAAAAATCACTTCAAATACCACCGGATTGAACCTGACATTGACAACGAGAGGCTATAAAAAAGGTATTCAAAGGGCTCAAGATACCCACTTTATAGCCGCAACCGGCTACATAGGAATCTTTACAGCCATTTTATGGCCTATCGTTTTCACACACGCATCCATGCATTGCATATTAAAGACTGGTTTCCGCCCGCGACTTCGCCCGCTGTAAAAGTAATGTTTTTTATGGAATAGGAGGTAGACGGATCACCTGATGGTAAGCGATCGGCGCCGCCCATGGACACCTGCAACACTAGAGGAGTCACAGGTGCGTTGCCGGCCTTTAAACAAGGAGTACGCTCATTTCTTGAAGCTTTGAAGGTCGTATCGGTTCGGGAATACCGCCGCTGGTATCCCGGGATTTTTAAAACAGCAGCGGTTGCGAATGCGATAGCTCGACTAAAATACACAAATCAAGTATCATTTATAGCCTATAGCGTATAGCACTCAGGAAAATTGTAGCAATCAATCAGTGAAAGGATTTTCGAAACCCGACCAGCGGTTCCAAAGATTACCCCCTACACACAAACTTACAAAACTTCACCTCTTTATAATATTAGTATAGATTGCCACACACGGTTTTTTTTTCATCAGGGAAAAATCATCCAATGACTTCTCCCGCCCAGGGTGAGGGGAGAGAGAGTGTCAGACTCTTACTGACTAAAAACCCCCCCGATCCTTCTCCTGCTCTGGGCCGAGGTCGCGGTGCCTCATTGCGCTTATCCCGCAACCCCGGCTTGACACACACGGCTAACGCGACAATTTTGTCGTAAGAATGACTTGTCAAATTTTATTTATAACCCATAAAGTATGGTTTATTTGTAATTTGTCGGTTTTGATTTTTAATGCTTGGGGTTTTTATAGTTGGGGTGATTTTGTGGGGAAGGTTTATTGTTTTATTTTCTTTCTTATTTGGGTAAATTGTTTTTTCGATATTTGTTTTTCACGTGCCGTGTATGGGTTAACCTTTAAAAGCGTAGTATATTTTTTTCTTAATTATTTTTTTTATATTTTACAATGGCGAATAATTTGAACATATACATATAAAATATGTGTTGGAATTTCGTGTATACATTTAAATGTAAAACCACTTTGAATATTAAAAATCTACATATGTTGGTCAGACGGATTACTGCGTACTGAAACATTAAATGTGAAAAATATATTTGAAATAGTTTTTACACTAAATCGTGAAACCAGTGTGAAACTAATCCAATTACTATTTATAAATATGTCAGGTATTCTGCCAATTTTTCGGTGGTGATATTTTTATTTTTAAACTTTTTAGAACTGATTTTTCAATAGCCAGATAAATGTTATTTGAGGAATAAAATTGTTGCTGTCACTGTCTTATACAAACATTCTGATGCGACAGCATCATAATTATTCCCCAGGTAACTTTCATCTAGCCATTGAAAAATCAACCCATAGTCGATCAACTGTATGTAACTTTTGATTTATTATTTTTGACTTGTCAATGCAAAACAGGTTGTGTGCCCAAAATAAATGACATCCCTGTCACCATTATAAAAAATAACAATAATGAGATGCCTTTTCCTGAATTAAAAAAAAAAACATACAGAAGTATAGTCATTTGTAGCCATTAATGTTCATTTAAGGGGAAAGTTCAACAACTTTTTTTATTCAAAAACAAATAACTGGGAAGTCATTAAAAGTAGATCTTACCACATCCGACTGTTCGTTCTCTTAAAGTATAAAAAAAAATCTAAATAATAAAGAATGTTAATTTAATCTCTATTCCGTAGCACGTTAAGTTGATTGTTGGTTGTTCATCATTTCACCTTCGGCTGAAGCACTTTAAGTTTTCAAAGAAAACTAAAAAAAGATATATTGTTGAAGTTTGGTTTTAAAAAAGGAATTGCGTACGTTTTTTGTTGATGTCGTAAAAAAAATTAAAAGTATTTTGTTGTGACATTTTTTAAGTGTCGTGTTTTTTTTCACTAGAATATTAAGGACCGGTTTTGCTAAACTTAATTAGGTCGAAAATTTCTTGCGAAAATACGACCAATCAGAATATACACGAGACTTGATCAAACACCACGAAACAGACCCTTAATATTCTTAAAAATAAAAATATTTTTCCTTTCAACTATATGGTTTGTTATATATTTATTTAAATCCTTTTTGGAAATATTCAATGTAATTTATATTTATTGAGATATGAAAGTAATAAAAACAGGAATAAGTAACAAACACGTGGATTTATTTAATCTGTGGGCTTAAACATAAAAAAAGCCTTTTGTGGCACGAGCGTAAAGTAAAGAGTAGGTACAAATAAATTTTCCAGATTTTTTTACCATTTTTAAAACAAAAAAACTTGGAAAACATATTTTTTTAAATCCAATAATACGAATTTTATTGTGTAAAATATGTAGGTAGACGCACAAAATTAATTGAAAATAATATAACTTACTTATGTGAACAAAACTGAGAAAAACTCTACTAGTTTCAAGTTACAACGGGACTCTTATTCATGAACAGTGTACGCGACGCGGCGACGATTTGCCTGCGTGAATTAAGTATGCCACAAAAATGAATCCTAATTCCAATTTTGAATAAAAATAATTGAAAGCTGCCAGTACAAGAATTGAATGAAAAGCTATATAAAACTATTGAATAAAAAAGAAAATGGAATTCATATCATATTTGAATTTGAATGACAGCTCAAAATTGTTTTTTTTTTTTATTCATATTACTATTATCAATAATTGAATATTAGTTACCACACATAGTAAATGAAAAATACTGGCTAGACAAACATGATCGATGCTTATGGATACTTTTTTTCAAAGAAAATATTTCATCAGTCCAATAGTCAAGTAAAAAAGGATAAAATATTGCCCGAATTCTATTATACTGAACTTCATTTGTTATTCATGATGGCTAGTTTGTTTAATGTTTTTCTTTACGGCATAGTACATTATTTTGATATTTTTGTATTTCGAATCTGTAATCTAACTTACACTTGGTGTTTAAAAAAAAGATACAATATTTTTATGTCATAGCGCCGACAATGGACACCCGTAGTGCCAAAAGAGTTACCACAAGTGCTTATTTAGGAATTTGAAGATTGTGAGGAAAGGCTGGTAGATAAGGATGGAGCCTAACTCACTGTGAGGCCGTGGTATCACTCCACTGGAGCTGGTCCACTCGTGCCGATGCATGGTTTTCCCACACTTGTTTCAAAACATTAGAAAAACACCACACAACAGGGTTTTTACCGGTGGCCCAATCCTTCCCCTACACCAATCCGTTCATTTTCCCAAAATCTTCAAATCCCTAATCTCCAAAAGGTCGACAACGCACTCGAAACTCCTCAGTCGTTGCGGGTGTCCATGGGCGACGCTGAATGCTTACCATCCGGTAATCCATTTGCTCGTTTGCCGACCTATCACATAAAAAAAGAACATAACATATTTCTAATAAATAGTAAGATATTTTTTTACGTCAATCTATCTGCCTGCTTTCGTTTTAAATTTGTAAAATACAGTGAAAATGGTTTTTGAGGATAAATCCCTAAGTATTTTGCACAAAGCTGCTGCATATAAAAAGTGATAATAATGTTTTTCAATTTAT